GTTATGTCCGGGGGCGTCTAGTCCTAAATTCGTAACTTTTTTCTTTCTTTCTTTCTATCCTTTTTCGTGACTTGCTAGAAACCGATCCCATTTCAGAGGATTTCGGAGTCGTCGCGTGAGGGATGCGGTTGGTGCGACACTGAAAAGCCAGCAGCCTTGGTCCCCCTCCCCCACTCCCTACACATCGTGCCCTCCCCGACCCATTTCCCCCCATAAGACTAACCCAAGATAAAGCAACATCGCCCCCAAAAGATGTCAGCGTCACGTAGATGTTCTTAAGAAATAAAAAAAGTCTACTTTTTGGCTTCGCACCAGTCGTATCCCCTCTGAGGACGTGCCGTTTCCCCTCACTTCTCCCCTCCTGTGGGTTGTCCTGGGAGTAAAGGGTTTTCATCTTGATAATCTTCTACTCAGTGTCTCAGCAATGAACCAAATGTGGTGTACAAACTTGGCGCTTGGCCCAGGGTTGCGCCGTGCAATGTATAGAAACTATCTGTTCTGTCAGTAACTATAGGTAACTGTATTGTCTACCGGACTATTCAATAAGGTTTATAAGTGGTTTTTAGCCAAAGGAAAGATCGTGTTCGTAAGAAAAGTATATATATATATATATATATATATATATATATATATATATATATATATATATATATATATATATGCATATATATGTATATATACATATATACAGATATGTATATATCAGAAGTTCTTATTCATTTGTTAGAGCTGTAGATGATTCATGTGTTAAAGCCTGGTTTCTAGATTTTTTTCTAGAAATATGTTTGATAAATCACATTGGATGCCATTTTAGAGCGTGTTTGATATAATATACTTGTGTCAAAATAGTTATTCTGTGTAAAAGTTATCATGTAGAACGACAAATATGGGCGACCTTGATACATTATCCTTGGGAAACCGGTGATTCACACGATATTTTTAAGACAGAGAAAGACTTCTTAGGTTGTGTCCAATCACACGAGGATTTGCTTGAATGCGAGGTCGTGTTAGTATCAAGGATTCGACCAACTTTAAGAAATAGGAGGAGAATCCTGTGATTAGAAAAAAAGAAAAATAATATATATATAAATGGGCCCCCCTCCAACCCTCTCCCCTCGACCAAGAACCCTTGGGGTACCCTTAATCATTTCCAAGTGAAAATTAAAAAATATATATATAGGGAAAAGAATGCAAACTTCCACGTATATAGTCCCGAAAGGCTTTAATTATAAGAGGCGTGATCCTGCCAAGTACAAATTGAATTTTGTTACTCCCTTTTGCCTCGGGGATTTTAGTTTCCTGTGAAGAGGGAACTCGCGGAAGAAGTATATCGAAGAAACTAAATAAGATTCACTGAATTATATCCCAAACAGAACACTTCAGTACTTAAAAAACTAACTTCCTATTCAGATTTTATTGTTAAGTAACAGGTTTCAGCCATTGCACGTATGGAGTCTTGATGGCCGTTCCCCGCTAACTAGTTTTCATAAGTAGAAAACGTCAGATGATCGATTATACAACTGTAAAACACGTCCTCTCTAGACTTACCCAGGAATAAAAGTAGCAAAAAC